TTTGAAAAGTACCGTCCCTTTCCCGGGGGACACTGCGGGGACAATCGGTGGGACGACACTTCGGGCTGGTTCACTGTGAGTATATAAAAATAGACAGGGTAAGACACCTCCTGCCTGAACCTGGCTTCATCTTCGTTTTGGACGCAGGGGGGGGACCGATTGATTCGAAAACTTGTTCACAGGTAGAGCCTTCAGTAATAACTCGCTTTGCAGACAAAATTTCTGACTCAATCGATCAAGGAGCAAACCGGTTGGCAAAACTGGGGCGTGAAACAGCGCTCTTGACTTTTTAATTTCAAGAATATGTCTGCTCTGTGTATACAACAACATAGAAAAACGGAGATATTCTAAATTATGAAGTTATCAAAGAAACTGCAATAATATCATCTTACACCAGACTTTATAGTCGCCAGAAAACAGATGCTTTTTGGGGAGTCGGGCTCCTGTTTTGGGATTTCTCTAAAAATGCGGAGTAATTTCTGCAAGTGAAGAGTAAAGTGAAGATTTTGGTCAATAACCTACCTAATACCAAGTAGAAGTTTGTTTGTTTGGTTGATTGGATCACAAGCAAAAACGCCACAATCACAGAAATCAGCGTGAATGCTAGGAAAAGAAGTAAAATTCAACGCATTTTGGATGAGCCAAACTGGTTTGTCAGAATCTGAATCACAGAGCTTTTATGCAGCCCGCGGATCCCTCAAAAAGTTGTTCAAAACGCCGAAAATCTTGTTCGGCTTCAGTGTTGTTGTTATCTTCTCCAGGCAGAAATCCTTGGGTGGAACCATTAGATCAAAATTTCTTGGCCAACAACACGTAATTATCGCTTCAAAAAAATCGGAAAATGGAAAAAACAGATTGCACCTTCTAAAAGTGTTAAGGGTTGTTGATCGAAAATTTCTCGCTTCAATGTCTTTTTTTCATTCCAAATGACGAGCCAATTTGGAAAATTCGTACAAAAAGTTTATGAACAATTTGCCCGTTCTGTTGGCCAAACTCTTATTGCATCTTTAGCAATGGATTTATTTGAAAAGGGGATTTATTTCGCTGATGAAGCTTTGTTTTCCCTTTTCGAATTGTCAAAACACATTGTTCGTGTCCTTGAAAGGGACGCGTTCAAAATGGTCAAGGTCGAGAAAAAAATTAGTGAGAAACTCTGCAAAAACAACAACAAAGCAGAAAAAGATAGGGGAATGCCAACCGGGCATGGTGACCAAATGACACGAGCAATGTGTTTTGACAATTCGAAAATTTGACAATACTATTCTACGCAGAATTTGACGCTGATTCCGCATCTGCTTCCGATTTTGCGCTAAATAGCACTCTGTCAAAAGGGCACTTTCTTTTCTTCAAAACCACTTTTTCTGGGGTAGTTTTATGCGTCAATTCTAAAAAACACAACGAAAGCTTGGGAAAAGGCGTTTTAAGCCGACTTTCGGGGCTTCAAAGTGCGCGCTTCTATAGTGTACTTCACTTGGAAGTCCAAGCTATCGACTATTGGGTCGTTTTTTAAGGTCAAAACTAGGGCCCAAACCATTTTCAACCACTAAATATTCATCTTCTAATTTAAATTGACTGGTAGAGGTAAAGCACACTGAAAAAATATTTTTGAGGTTTTGACTCATGCGGGGAGACCACATGGTCGAAATTTTAAAAAAATTTTTTTTTTATTTTGCTCCAATTTAATCAGAAACGTAATCAGTAGGTTAAATCATGCCAGAAGAAGTGTTTTTAACTTTAAAAATGTTTTGAGGGACCATTTTTAGACCTCTTCCCTGGATATTTTCGCATTTTAATGATGGTTGTTTAATGTTAATAGTTACTAGGTTGGTGCAAAAGAAATTTTCTTTTTTTTGCAAACATTAAATTCAATCAAAATTCCTTTAGGTAACAATTTATTCGAAACAATAAGCACCATCGTTATCTATAACATCCCTCCAACGTTGCTTTAGCTTGCGGATCTCCTTATCGAAGAACTCTTGATTCTGTGCTTGAAAGTAGTTGGTCAGCCAAATTTCGACTTCTCGCGTATTCTTAAACTGGCAATTCGCAAGGGAACGTTCTGCATCGATCTGAAGAGGTGAAATCAGATGGTGATAAGTCTGGACTATATAGCGCATGCGGTAAGACCTTCCATTTTGCTTCCTCTAACTCCATATAAGCAGCTTTTTTCTGTGCGAGCGGGCGCGTTGTCACGGAGAGAAAATTGACAGTCGAGGGATTTAAAGCCTTTGGTTTAAAATTTGGTCAACCTTCTTGAGATATAACCAGCCTTAGAATGTTGTTTCATGTGTTGTTTGCATTGGATCAGCTTCAATAAGTTGTTCCAATTCATTATTATCGATGGCTGCGGAGCGATGTCCATGTGAATCGCCTTCAAGGGATCAATACCTTCTCGGAATCAAGCAAACCAGAGCTGGCAGGATCTTTCGGTCCAAATCGTAAGGGCAGCCGGTCGTGGATTTCTTCTCGAGTTGGCTTCATTCAGTCGACTGCAACTCTCTTCTCGTGTCAATTCCTCAAATGAATATTGGTGCAAGAAAGCAGAAAGTTTTAGCATGAAAAAGAAAAAGATTAATACAAAACGTTGTGTTGTGACCAGAGTACTGATCAAAACAAAAATCTCTGGGTTTCTATGGGACCAATCTAATAGAAAGGTCGGCTTGCCCGAAATGCCATAAAACAGGTGCTTTTCCAGGAGTCGCAACTCCCCAAAAAGCTCTCATTTTAGACAAAACCACAAGACGGATTTTTATGGTATTATTTTTGAAATCAGCGCATTTTTTTGGTCTAGAAAACGCAAATGGCAGTTATTTTTAATAGGGGCATTTTTCGATACATTTCGCGCGGATGTGAGTCGGGCTCTTTTTTTGGAATTTCACTCTAAAAATGCGGAGAAAATTTCTGCAAGTGAAGAGTGAAGTGAAGATTTTGAACTAATCTACCTAATACCAAAAGAGGTTTATTCTTTGTTTGATTGATCGTTAGCAAAAACTTACGCCACAATCACCGAAATCAGCGCGAATGCTAGGAAAAGAAGTAAGATTGAACGTTTTTTGAATCAGTGCATCTTCGTTTATTATAATTTATTTATACAAACTTATATAGCATTCCCCAAAGTTGTTCAAGCACCAAAAAACTTGTAGTGGTTCCAGTGTTGTTGTTATCCTCAAGGCAGAAATCCTTGGGTGGGCCATTAGATCGAAAATTCCGGCCAACAACACGTAGTTAATTTGAAATTTGGAGAAATATAATATATATTAAATTTGTTTTATGTAAAAGAATTGGAATGCAAATTTATTTGAATTGAACCGAAAATCGGCCGGAAAGTTTTAGGCTGTGCAGAGTGTGCCCTTCCTAATCATCGCTATCGTCATCTCTAAAAGAGTCCGAAAATAAAAACGCTTTACGAAATGATCGCTAAACAAACTTTATTTTCGCTAGTTACTGTTTTCACGAACCCTGCTTTACGACGAAGAACGCGACGAACACGTTCAGCATCAGTATCAGCACTCTCTGCAAATTGAGACTCACATACGTTGAAATACAATTTCTATTGTCAAAATCGATCAGTAAGATTTAAGAAAAACAATTCTTCCATCATTCTCAGCCAACCTCTTCTCATTACATTTTTTTGACATTTTCGATACTACTATTAAAAACAAGAATTCTTACGTTGAGCGTTCCCGTTGAGCTGCATGCTCATCGCCGTCACGGCGTTCACTTGAGCTCCTGCCTCCTTGTCGTCACGGCGTTCACGTTGAGCTCCGGCCTCCTTTGCCGTAACGGCGTTCACGTTGCTAGATGCTCATCGCCGTCACGGCGTTCACGTTGAGCTCCGGCCTCCTTGTCGTCACGGCGTTCACGTTGAGCTCCTGCCTCGCTGTCGTCACGGCGTTCACGTTGAGCTCCGGCCTCCTTGTCGTCACGGCGTTCACGTTGAGCTCCTGCCTCCTTGTCGTCACGGCGTTCACGTTGAGCTCCGGCCTCCTTGTCGTCACGGCGTTCACGTTGAGCTACATGCTCGTCGCCGTCACGGCGTTCACGTTGAGCTCCTGCCTCCTTGTCGTCAGCGTTCACGTTGAGCTCCGGCCTCCCTTGTCGCCACGGCGTTCACGTTGAGCTCCGGCCTCCTTGTCGACCGCGTTCACGTTGAGCTAGATGCTCATCGCCGTCACGGCGTTCACGTTGAGCCCCGGCCTCCTTGTCGTCACGGCGTTCACGTTGAGCTCCTGCCTCCTTAGCCGTCACGGCGTTCACGTTGAGCCCGGCCTCCTTGTCGTCACGGCGTTCACGTTGAGCTCCTGCCTCCTTGTCGTCACGGCGTTCACGTTGAGCTCCGGCCTCCTTGTCGTCACGGCGTTCACGTTGAGCTCCGGCCCTCCTTGTCGTCACGGCGTTCACGTTGCGCTCCTGCCTCCTTGTCCCCGGCGTTCACGTTGAGCTCCGGCCTCCTTGGCGTCAAGCGTTCACGTTGAGCTCCGGCCTCCTTGTCGTCACGGCGTTCACGTTGAGCTCCTGCCTCCTTGTCGTCATACGTTCACGTTGAGCTCCTGCCTCCTTGTCGTCATGGCGTTCACGTTGAGCTCCGGCCTCCTTGTCGTCACGGCGTTCACGTTGAGCTCCGGCCTCCTTGTCGTCACGGCGTTCACGTTGAGCTCCTGCCTCCTTGTCGTCACGGCGTTCACGTTGAGCTCCGGTCTCCTTGTCGTCACGGCGTTCACGTTGAGCTCCGGCCTCCTTGTCGACACCGGCGTTCACGTTGAGCTCCGGCCTCCTTGTCGTCACGGCGTTCACGTTGAGCTCCTGCCTCCTTGTCGTCACGGCGTTCACGTTGAGCTCCAGCCTGCTTGTCGTCACGGCGTTCACGTTGAGCTCCTGCCTCCTTGTCGTCACGGCGTTCACGTTGAGCTCCGGCCTCCTTGGCGTCACGGCGTTCACGTTCAGCTACATCCCCATCGCCGTCACGGCGTTCACGTTGAGCTCCTGCCTCCTTGTCGTCATCGGCGTTCACGTTGAGCTCCGGCCTCCTTGTCGTCACGGCGTTCACGTTGAGCTCCGGCCTCCTTGTCGTCACGGCGTTCACGTTGAGCCAGATGCTCATCGCCGTCACGGGGTTCACGTTGAGCTCCGGCCTCCTTGTCGTCACGGCGTTCACGTGGAGCTAGATGCTCATCGCCGTCACGGCGTTCCCGTTGAGCTACATGCTCATCGCCGTCACGGCGTTCCGTTGAGGCTCCTGCCTCCTTGTCGTCACGGCGTTCACGTTGAGCTCCGGCCTCCTTGTCGTCACGGCGTTCACGTTGAGCTAGATGCTCATCGCCGTCACGGCGTTCACGTTGAGCTCCTGCCTCCTTGTCGTCACGGCGTTCACGTTGAGCTCCGGCCTCCTTGTCGTCACGGCGTTCACGTTGAGCTCCGGCCTCCTTGTCGTCACGGCGTTCACGTTGAGCTCCGGCCTCCTTGTCGTCACGGCGTTCACGTTGAGCTCCCGCCTCCTTGTCGTCACGGCGTTCACGTTGAGCTCCTGCCTCCTTGTCGTCACGGCGTTCACGTTGAGCTCCGGCCTCCTTGTCGTCACGGCGTTCACGTTGAGCTCCGGCCTCCTTGTCGTCACGGCGTTCACGTTGAGCTCCTGCCTCCTTGTCGTCACGGCGTTCACGTTGAGCTCCGGTCTCCTTGTCGTCACGGCGTTCACGTTGAGCTCCGGCCTCCTTGTCGTCACGGCGTTCACGTTGAGCTCCTGCCTCCTTGTCGTCACGGCGTTCACGTTGAGCTCCTGCCTCCTTGTCGTCACGGCGTTCACGTTGAGCTCCGGCCTCCTTGTCGTGACGGCGTTCACGTTGAGCTCCGGCCTCCTTGTCGTCACGGCGTTCACGTTGAGCTCCGGCCTCCTTGTCGTCACGGCGTTCACGTTGAGCTCCTGCCTCCTTGTCGTCACGGCGTTCACGTTGAGCTCCGGCCTCCTTGTCGTCACGGCGTTCACGTTGAGCTCCGGTCTCCTTGTCGTCACGGCGTTCACGTTGAGCTCCGGCCTCCTTGTCGTCACGGCGTTCACGTTGAGCTAGATGCTCATCGCCGTCACGGGGTTCACGTTGAGCTCCGGCCTCCTTGTCGTCACGGCGTTCACGTGGAGCTAGATGCTCATCGCCGTCACGGCGTTCCCGTTGAGCTACATGCTCATCGCCGTCACGGCGTTCACGTTGAGCTCCTGCCTCCTTGTCGTCACGGCGTTCACGTTGAGCTCCGGCCTCCTTGTCGTCACGGCGTTCACGTTGAGCTAGATGCTCATCGCCGTCACGGCGTTCACGTTGAGCTCCGGCCTCCTTGTCGTCACGGCGTTCACGTTGAGCTCCTGCCTCCTTGTCGTCACGGCGTTCACGTTGAGCTCCGGCCTCCTTGTCGTCACGGCGTTCACGTTGAGCTCCTGCCTCCTTGTCGTCACGGCGTTCACGTTGAGCTCCGGCCTCCTTGTCGTCACGGCGTTCACGTTGAGCTCCGGTCTCCTTGTCGTCACGGCGTTCACGTTGAGCTCCGGCCTCCTTGTCGTCACGGCGTTCACGTTGAGCTAGATGCTCATCGCCGTCACGGCGTTCACGTTGAGCTCCGGCCTCCTTGTCGTCACGGCGTTCACGTGGAGCTAGATGCTCATCGCCGTCACGGCGTTCCCGTTGAGCTACATGCTCATCGCCGTCACGGCGTTCACGTTGAGCTCCTGCCTCCTTGTCGTCACGGCGTTCACGTTGAGCTCCGGCCTCCTTGTCGTCACGGCGTTCACGTTGAGCTAGATGCTCATCGCCGTCACGGCGTTCACGTTGAGCTCCGGCCTCCTTGTCGTCACGGCGTTCACGTTGAGCTCCGGCCTCCTTGTCGTCACGGCGTTCACGTTGAGCTCCTTGGTCATTGCCATCTCTAAAATTAGAATGCTCGTAATTTATTTGACTTCTATCCATCTAAAGAACTTCATCATCATCATCAAAGTAACTGGCCAATGCTGATCGGGGAAAACTGTTTCTAACCTCTTTTCCTCTTGATGGTCCTGTTGCGCTTCGTCGTCGCTTCTATAATTGGAATGTTGGTAATGGCGTTTATTCTAATATATTCTCCCATTCTAACACTTACATAAAGATTACTTTACATATTGCTTTCTAATAAAAATTACGCCACAATCACAGAAATCAGCGCAAATGCTAGGAAAAAAGGAAAATTGAACGCATTTTGGATCAGTGAATCTTCGTTTGGCAAAATCTGATTCATCGAGCTTTTATCGGCGGATTCCCCCAAAAAGTTGGTAAAAACACCGAAAAACCTTGCTTGGTTCCAGTGTTGTTGTTATCCTTAAGGCAGAAATCTTTCGGTGGAACCATTGGATCAAAAAATTCTGACCAATAACACTTAGTGATCGCTTCAAAAAAAATCGGAAAATGAAAAAGACAAATTTTTACATTTTTTCCAAAAATTGTGAAAATTTGTTGGTCGAAAACTTCGGATTTCAATGTCTTTTTTCATTACAATAACAAGTCAATTTGGAAAATTCGTACAAAAAGTTTATGCACAATTTGCCCGTTCTGTTGACCAAACTCTTATTTCATCTCTAGCAATGGATTTCTTTGAAAACGGGATTTATTTCGTTGATCAAGCTTTTTTTCCCTTTTCGGATTGTCAAAACACATTTTTTAATTTTTGATACTACTATTATAATAAACGCTTATGCGACTAGAAGTAGGAAGAACAAGTCTGCAAACAAAGCTTTGAGAAGAAATAGATTGTCTCCAACCTCTGGTGACGTAACAAATCGAGACGACGAGCGCGGCTGCTTGGATCCTTGGCATCTCTAAACAATAAATATTGAAGATTTCAGTCATCTATGCTTTTACAACAAACCTATCTATTCTCTTTAAGTCACGGCGAGCGGGTTGACCTTTTTCAGCATCGCCATCTCTGAAATGGAAATTGTTTACAACATTCATCTTGAATGCAAAGTATCGCAAATCGTTTTATTGTACTTAATAATTTTTACTTATAGCACACAAGCGAGGAACTTTTCTCAAAGCTTAAAGATGCACATGATTTTTGCATCATTTACGACTAACGACTTACGAATAATAACGATACAAATAGTCGCTTGTTGTCAACTCAAATATTTTTTGGTCCCACGGGCTTTTGTGTGAAATACCGCCTGGTCGTGAATGTGTTAAAATGATAGGAGAAAACTGGCCAATAGGGATCGAAGAAAATAGTTGGAACTAGGGCAGATCAAAATGTTGTACGGGACCGGGACTAGAACTCGCAACCTTTCGCCTACCGGACAAATCTGCTAACCCTTACACCACAACGCACTTCATCACCCTTACTCCAGGTGGAATTAACTAAACTGTTTCTAACCTCTTCTCCCTGTCGTCGTCACGGCGTACGCGGTCGTCTCCATTATGGGAATCATCTCTAAATAGAAATGTTAACGATCCGGATCTTTACAATTTACAATCAATCACGGTTTGCTCTTATTAATTCAAACACTTACATCACTAATAGTAATTTGAAAAGCTATTCTGAGCAAAAGAAAGCTTCTTAGATCTGCTTGCATGATAAACACTAACCTCTTCTCCCTATCGTCGTCACGGCGTACACGTTGGTCTCCTTGCGCCTTGTCGTCTCTATAATTGGAATGCTGGAAATTGCATTTATTCCACTATATTCTCCCATTCTAACACTTACACAAAGATTACTTTACATATTTCTCTCTAATAAAACTTACGCTACAATCACACAAATCAGCGCAAATGCTAGGAAAATAAAGAAAATTGAACGCATTTTGGATCAGTGAATCTTCGTTGGTCAGAATCTGATTCATCGAGCTTTTATAGCTCCACAGATTCCCCTAAAATGTTGGTCAAAACATTGAAAAACCTTGTTTGGTTCCAGTGTTGTTGTGATCCTTAAGGCAGAAATCTTTCGGTGGAACCATTGGATCAAAAAATTCTGACCAATAACACTTAGTGATCGCTTCAAAAAAATCGGAAAATGAAAAAGACAAATTGCACATCATTTTTCTAAAAATTGTGAAAATTTGTTGATCGAAAACTTCAGGTTTCAATGTCTTTTTTCATTACAATAACAAGTCAATTTGGAAAACTCGTACAAAAGTTTATGCACAATTTGCCCGTTCTGTTGGCCAAACTCTTATTTCATCTATAGCAATGGATTTCTTTGAAAACGGGATTTGTTTCGTTGATGAAGCTTTGTTTTCCCTTTTCGAATCCTCAAAACACATTGTCCTTGAAAAAGGCGCGTTCAAAATGGTCAAGGTCGAAAAAAAATCAGTGAGAAACTCTGCAAAAACAAAGCAGAAAAAGATATTATCCCGTTTTACTACAGAGTAGTTTATATTTTCTGTCAGCTTGATAATCAGTCAACTTTGCTTTATTTGCCTTTTTCGATTCTAGATTACTTGAAAGCAATGTTTTTTTCTAAAAGCTGCATAATTTGTAAAGTTATCGTAATGCTTTCTCCGGATTTTGTCCTATCTAATATATTTTGATCCAATCTGATGATGGATCAAGCTATAAGTTGAATGTAATCAAAAGTACATAGATCGGACAAATATAATGAAAAGATTACGGTAGCTTTCCAAACTACTCACTCGCCTTTTTGCTTCACAATGACTAGCCACTAATAATAAGTTGATTCCACTAATACAGTCATGGATAAAAGTCTTTTAACGTTGGTTTTTAGAAGTTTGTCCTTTGTATATCTTGGTCCAAATCCGATCAATTTGCAAACGGTTAAAAGATTTAAAGAGCTTATTATCTCTAATTTTAACATTACAAAAAGATGCATTTAACAATTTTTCATGAACACGGTAACAAGGCGTCATGACCTTTTTTAAAACAAAACTTGAGCCAAAATTGATGGACAAAAGTCTTTTTAACATGTGAGAAAAACATTATGAAATCAATACTTAGTAGGTCCACCGCGAACCGCAATTACTGCTTGAATTCTCCTTGACATGCTGTCAACCAGATCACGTAGAATTTGGGGTCCAATAGTGGTCCAGACTTGACGGATGAAGTACCAAAGCTCCACTTTTGATCCGAATAGTTGCCGATTTCTGGTTGCTAACTCCGATTTTTTAGATGCCCGGCGCCTACTTATCCACTTCGGGCCAGGAGAAAATCGTCGAAGCTCGAAAAAATGGAATATCTAGAAAAGCCGTCGCTGAGCTCTTCCGCTGTACCGAAACAACTGTATCGCTTGTTGTCTCCAGGGCCAAACTCGCGGGAAACGTTCATCGTGCATCAAAAAAGTGGACGTCCACCAGTTACAACTTTACGAGAAGACAATGCGCTTGTTCTGGCCCACAAGAAGAACCCAAATCTAAATGCCTCTGATGGCGTGGCTATGGTGAAGCAACAATTTAACAAAGAAATTTCTCGAAAAAACGATGAGTAGACGCCTGATTCACGGTGGATTGATGACTAGAAGAGCCACCAAGAAACCTCTGATGGTAGCTAAGCACCGGAAGCTTCGTCTCGAGTTTGCTAAGAAGTATCAAAGTTGGACGTTGCACGATTGGGTCAATGTTGTGTTCACCGACGAATCGAAAGTCAATCTTTTCGCCCCTGATGGCAGTCATTTGATACGGAGACCAGTCGGACAACGTTATAACATTAAATACTTGCGTCCTACAGTTAAATTTGGTGGCGGATCGATCATGCTATGGGGTAAGAAACTTTGTATTTTGTGCCTACTGATTTTCTGATTTCTAGGAGCAATGTCCAGAAATTCACTGGGTCCACTCGTCCTTCTAAACTTAACGTTGAATGCTCAACGCTACAAGACGATTCTGGAGAATGAGCTTCTACCGTTTTCGACCGCAAATATGGGCCAAGGTTGATTGTTGTACCAGGACAATGCCCCGTGCCACAAGTCACAGCTGCTGATGGGACGCCGTGTTCGACTCGCCAAAGGAGGAACGGCTCTGGTGCCAGGATGGTTCAAAGCAAACCGTGTTCAACTTGTGTCTGCTCCTCCCTATAGTCCTGATTTGAATGTGATCGAGAACTTATGGGCGTTTGTGAAATCGAGATTGAAGGGGAAACTATTCGGATCAAAAGTGGACCTTTGGTACTTCATCCGTCGAGTCTGGACAACTATTGGACCCCAAATTCTACGTGATCTAGTTGACAGCATGTCAAGGAAAATTCAAGCAGTAATTGCGGCTCGCGGAGGAACTACTAATTATTGATTTCATAATGTTTTTCTCACATGTTAAAAGACTTTTGTCCATCAATTTTTGGCTCAATTTTTTTTATTAAAGAGTTCATGACACCTGATAAATTGTTAAATCCATCTTTTTGTAATGTTAAAATTAGAGATAATAAGCTCTTTAAATCTTTTAACCGTTTGCAAATTGGTCGAATTTGGACCAAGATATACAAAGAACAAACTTCTAAAAACCAACGTTAAAAGACTTTTATCCATGACTGTATTAGTGGAATCAACTTATTATTAGTGGCTAGTCATTGTGAAGCAAAAAGGCGAGTGAGTAGTTTGGAAAGCTACCGTAATCTTTTCATTATATTTGTCCATGACTGTATCAATGTTATTCATCCAATTCAGCGAGTGTGTTTTAAAGTTGTAAACTTAAATCTTTATTAATGGACATTCAAATTCTTAATTTGTTCAGAAATTGACAAGCATGGCACTGAATAAAGCAAGGTTGAAAAATGAAAGGGATTGGTTTTAAGAAATCTTTTTAACGGCGGACATTGTATCCATATCCTTCTCTAAAAAATTAAAACATTAAAGAAAAAACCCATCTTACTGATAGTTGAACTGATAGTTGAATCTATAGAACTTGTAGAGCAACTCTTCAAAGTTTACGATTTAACGTTTTAACAACTGTTTTCTTACTAACAACTAACCTCTTGTCACGAGAGGCGCCATCACGAACGCGGTGAGCGTTTAACACAGTGGCATCGTCATCTCTGAAAGAGAGAAATTTGTAAGCAGCTTCACACATCTCTCATTTCCACTGAAGCTTTCGCAATTCACATACAGTAAAAATCTGATATAGCAAGCTTTCATAAGAAAACTGTTTTCAATTGTGCTCATGTAGACAAATAAATCCTCGATCCGTTATGAAAAGTTTCACTCACTGAGTTAATTCAAAGTTTGCCTAGACAATGCGCTGATTTTGCATGACTTGCTTAACAAACTGCAGATTTAGAGTCAGATTTTATCAGAATAATAAGTGGATTAACTGGTCTTAACCTCTTCTCGCGGGGATCATCTCGGATGACACGGTATCCATATCCTTCTCTAAAAAATTCAAGCATTAAAGAAAAGCCGCATCTTACTGATAGTTGAACTGATAGTAGAATCTATAGAGCTTGCAGAGCAACTCTTTAAAGTTTACAATTTAACGCTTTAACAACTGTTTTCTTATCTACAACGAACCTTTTCTCTCTTTCACGGAGTCCACGTTGATCTCCTTGGGGATCCTTAGGCATGCTTCTAGAATTGGAATGCTGGGAATGGTAACACTGCTATCTCGAATCTTAGGTACAATATTGAACCGGATTGTTTCATAGATCTGCTTGCATGATAAGCACTAACCTCTTCTCCCTATCGTCGTCACGGCGTACGCGTTGGTCTCCATGCGCCTTGTCGTCTCTATAATTGGAATGCTGGTAATTGCATTTATTCCATTATATTCTCCCATTCTAACACTTTCACAAAGATTACTCAACATATTTTTCTCTAATAAAACTTACGCCACAATCACACAAATCAGCGCAAATGCTAGGAAAAGAAAGAAAATCGAACGCATTTTGGATCAGCAAATCTTCATTTGTCAGAATCTGATTCCCCGAGCTTTTATAGCTTTGGCGGATTCCCCTAAAAAGTTGGTCAAAACATTGAAAATCTTGTTTCGCTCCAGTGTTGTTGTTATCCTCATGGCAGAAATCCTTGGTTGCAACCATTAGATCAAAAAATTCTGGCCAAAAACACGTAGTCATCGCTTCAAAAAAAGTCGGAAAATGGAAAAACCCGATTGCACATCATTTTTCTCCAAAAAGTGCTAAGGTTTGTTGATCGAAAACGTTGGGTTTCAATTGACAGGCCAATTTGGAAAATTCGTATTTTTTGTTGATCTACATTTTGTCTATTCTGTTGGCCAAACACTATTTTATCTTTAGCACAGGATTTCTTTGCAAAGTGGATTTGTTTGATGAAGCTTTGTTTTCTCTTTTGAATTCTCAAAACACATTGATCGCGTCCTTGAAAAATGATCAAGGTCAGGCAGGAAATAAATGACAACTTTGCAAAAAAATAGCAAGCAAAAATTGTTGAAAAAAACGTAACCTCTTCTCGCGGGAATCGCGAACACTTTGAACGTAGTCGAAGTCACTAAAATTATTCATTGCCTATATTTTCATTCTGTTTTAAATTCTTTTACGGTAAGCCTAATGCAAAGTTCCATCTACTTGAACAAAACTTTCACGAAAACTCACTCATCAAACCCAGAAAGCAGAACGAATGCTAAGAAAAAAAAAGAATTTGACGCATTTTTTCGATGAGTTCGGTCAATCTCTTTCTTTTTTCTTGTCTAACCTTTTATGTATATCCAAATTCGCTCGGAACAAAGAAAAAAAACCGTGATTGGTTCCAGTGTTGCAATCTCAAGGCTCAATGACTTTTAGTCAGAGTGGAACGATCGGAACGAAATTTTTCACTTAAAAGTCATGCAGTAACTGAAGAAACTGTAAATAGGTATTTGTTTCTTTGAACTCGCCAAAGCACAAGAAACTTCTTTGAAAAGGCAAGCTCGAATATTGATCAAGGAGATAAAAGGAGAAGAATAGATAAGCATGAAAATTAATCAAGTTTTGTAACATTAGTAATAAGATATATAATCTATTGCCAAGTCTACTCTTTAAACTTCAAAAACAAAGCTTTTAAGGCATTTTATTTTTATTTTCATCTTTGTAACGGATACTTTTTAACTCGTTGACTCGTTATTAAATAAACTCTCCTGTTTTCAAGCTATGTTTCACTAAACTATCTAGTTTTTGTGTCTAGCTCAAATGAATGATGAGCTCTGCCCAAAAAAAAACAAATGCCGCATTGCAAACCGCTTAATCCAAGAACTTGAGAGTAATTCCGATAAGGAACTTGAACAAATAAGATTTTGAAAGAATACAGTGTTTTGGGCATCGGATATCGGCATCATTCTAGTGAACAAATCAGAGTAAACATCTGGAAAAGCTTGAAATTTTTGTGCCCAATGAACTCATATAAAAAGAAATCAGTCAAGCAGAGAAATTAAGCATCTAAATGGAAATTTTTTGGCTTCTCGTGTTGATCGCCGCTTCAATGGTCTCCGCTCAGAACGAGTTCTTTGATGACGAGAAGTGAGTGCTTTCTGAATAATGGATTTTGAACCATAATTTTGAATACAAGTAACAATTCAACTTATTATCATCCTGAAGCTCACACCAACTCCAGACCAATCCGAGCGAAACAAGCGTATTACCGAAACGGGGCCTACTTCGCCTCACCTTACAATCGATACAACAACAATGGCGTCTACTATTACAACTCTGCGTCAGCTTTAGAAGCAATCCCTTTTACTTGAAAGTCACACTCTTCAGTTCACCACCTACCAGATATACTTTAGTAACACGCAATACTATCGAGGCTCAAGCGGCTGAAACCATTGACGACACTGACTTTCACTGATACAATCATCTCCAAAAGCTTCGAGAAATAAACGGTGAGATTCAGCAGGGGTTTTTCCTTATTTGAAATCGTAGATCATGGCAGCTCGAGGCACGAGCTTGTTGTCATCAATTTTTGCAGTAAAAACCACTAGCGAAGTGAAAAGGAAAATGATTATAAATCTAGTGAGTGTGTAGTTTATTTTTGTACAAAACATTACGTAAGCAAACACTTGGCAAAATTCGAAGCCCGCACTATTTTCTTTACACCGTGGTACAATAACTAACTACTAACAATATGTTGATTCAATTAATACCAATGTTATTCATCCAATTCAGCGAGTGTGTTCTAAAGTTGTAAACTTAAATCTTTATTAATAGACATTCAAATTGTAAATTTGTTCGGAAATTAGTAAAAATGGCACTGAATAAAGCAAGGTTGAGAAATGAAAGGGATTGGTTTTAAAAGAAATCTTTTCCACGGCGAACACGGTATCCATATTGTCCTCTAAAAAATTAAAACATTAAAGAAAAAACCCATCTTACTGATAGTTGAACTGATAGTTGACTCTATAGAAATTGTAGAGCAACTCTTCAAAGTTCACGATTTAACGCTTTAATAATTATTTTCTTATTAACAACTAACCTCTTCTCACGAGAGGCGTCTTGACGAACGCGGTGAGCGTTTAACACAGTGGCATCGTCGTCTCTGAAAGAGAGAAATTTGTAAGCAGCTTCATACATCTCTCATTCTCACTGAAGCTTTCTCAATTCACATACAGTAAAAATCTGATATAGCAAGCCTTCACAAGAAAACTGTTTTCAATTGTGCCCATGTAGATAAATAAATCCTCGATCCGTTATGAAAAAGTTATACTCACTGAGTTAATTCAAAGTTTGCCTAGACAATGCGCTGATTTTGCATGACTTGCTTAACAAACTGCAGATTTAGAGTCAGATTTTATCAGAGTAATAAGTTGATCAACTGATCTTAACCTCTTTTCGCGGGAATCGCGAACCCCTTGTTTTGTTTTATGTAAAAGAATTGGAATGCAAATTTATTTGAGTTGAACCGAAAATTAGCCAAGACCAAGCCAGTTTTTTTTGTATGTGCAGAGTGTGCCCTTCTCAATCGTTATCGCCATCTCTAAAAGAGTTTGAGAATAAAAAAGCTTTAAAAATGATCGCTAAACAACTTTATTTTGGCTAGTTACTGTTTTCACGAACCTTGCTTTACGAGAGAGAGGACCGCGACCACATACGTTCAGCATCAGTATCAGCATCTCTGCAAATTGAGACTCACATACGTTGAAGTACAATTTCTATTGTCAAAATCTATCAGTAAGATTTAAGAAAAACAATTCATCCATCATTCTCAGCCAACCTCTTCTCCTTAGGAGGATCATCGAGACGAACGCGTTCATCTTCATGAGAATCGTCATCATCTCTAAAGGGAATTGTCACCTTGACATCAATGTATTACGAATAGTTTTATTGCACTTGTCACTTACACAAACTTACGGATAAATCGTTCTCAAAGTCTAAGATTTGTTGATGATTCACAACTAACCTCTTCTCCTTTTCGTCGTCACGGCGTTCACGTTGATCTTTTTGGGGATCCTTAGGCATGCTTCTAAAATTGGAATGCTAGGGATGGTAACACTGCTATCTTGAATCTTAGGTACAATATTGAACCGGATTGCTCAATAGGTCTGCTTGCATGATAAACACTAACCTCTTCTCCCTATCGTCGTCACGGCGTACGCGTTGGTCTCCTTGCGCCTTGTCGTCTCTATAATTGGAATGCTGGTAATTGCATTTATTCCACTATATTCTCCCATTCTAACACTTCCACAAAGATTACTCAACATATTTTTCTCTAATAAAACTTACGCCACAATCACACAAATCAGCGCAAATGCTAGGAAAAGAAAGAAAATCGAACGCATTTTGGATCAGCAAATCTTCGTTTGTCAGAATCTGATTCCCCGAGCTTTTATAGCTTTGGCGGATTCCCCTAAAAAGTTGGTCAAAACATTGAAAAACCTTGTTTGGTTTTGAAAAACCTTCAGTGTTGTTGTTATCCTTGAGGCAGAAATCTTTCGGTGGAACCATTGGATCAAAAAATTCTGACCAATATCACCTAGTCATCGCTTCAAAAAAATCGGAAAATGAAAAAGACAAATTGCACATCATTTTTTCCAAAAATTGTGAAAATTTGTTGATCGAAAACTTTGGGTTTCAACGTCTTTTTTCATTACAATAACAAGTCAATTTGGAAAACTCGTACAAAAAGTTTATGCACAATTTGCCCGTTCTGCTGGCCAAACTCTTGTTTCATCTATAGCAATGGTTTTCTTTGAAAACGGGATTTGTTTCGTTTGTTTTTTGTTTTCCCTTTTCGAATCCTCAAAACACATTGTCCTTGAAAAAGGCGCGTTCAGAATGGTCAAGGTCAAGAATCAATCAGTGAAAAACTCTACAAAAAACAATAACAAAGCAGAAAAAGATATTATCCCGTTTTACTACAGAGTAGTTTATATTTGCTGTCAGCTTGATAATCAGTCAACTTTGCTTTATTTGCCATTTTTGATTCTAGAGTACTTGAAAGCCAGTGTTTTGTTCTAAAATCTGCGTAATTTGTAAAGCTATGTAAGTGTTTCAACGTCCGAAATAAAAAATAATCTGACGATGCAAGGTCAGGGGAGTAAGGTGCGTGAAGCAAAAGTCTCCAACCTAGCTCCTCAATTTTTTTATGAGTGGGGTTTAGCGTCATCGTCCAGAAATCGGACTCTTGACGGTTTGATCCCCAACTTCATTAAAGCTTTGTTAACTCTCACTAGTTTTTTTGAGTAAAGGTCTGTATAGACTGTTGGTCTAGGTTTTAGCATTGAGCTTTTTAGATATTTCAATAGTATAGAGCAAATCGCCATTTAAGATTTCTAGACGGCGTCCAGTTCTAGAGGCTTTCATTGCCGTCTCGAAAACGCTGAAACCATCGACGACACTGACTTTTACTGATACAATCATCTCGGGATCCATATCTTTCTCTAAAAAAATCAAAGATCAAAAGAAAAACCGCATCTTAGTAATAGTTGAATCTATAGAACTTACAGAGCAACTCTTCAAAGTTTAAGATTTAACGTTTTAACAATTGGTTTCGTATTAACAGCTTCACACATCTCTCATTTTCACTGAAGCTTTCTCAATTCATATACATTCATATGTATATGTAAAAATCTGATATAGCAGGCTTTCACAAGAAAACTGTATTCAGTTGTGTTCATCAGTAGTCAAATAAATCCCCGATTTGTTATGAAAATGTTATACTCACTAAGTTAAGTCAAAGTTTGCTTAGATAATAAGCTGGTCAACTGATCTTCCTCTTCTCACGGGGATCGTCACGATGAACACGTTGATCGTAGTCGAAATCACGGCGAACTCTTTGATCAGAGTCGAAGCCACGACGAACGCGTTGATCGTAGTCGAAGTCACTAAAATTCTTCATAGCCTCTATTTCCATTCTGTTTCAAATTCCTTTACAGCAAGCCTGATGCAAACTTCCATCTACTTGAACAAAACTTTCTCAGCAATCACAGAAAGCAGCACAAATGCTAAGAAAACAAAAAAGAATTTGGCGCATTTTTTCGATGAGTTCGGTCAATCTCTTTCTTGTTCCCAATTTTTTATAACTTTTGTGTATTTCCTAATTGCTCAAAACAAAGAAAAAACCGTGATTGATTCTAGTGTTTCAATCTCAAGGCCAAAACTCGAGTGGAACCATCAGAGAAAGATTTTTCTATTAAACGTCACGCAGTAACTGAATAAACTGTAAATAGGTACTTACAGGTATTTGTTTCTTTGAACTTGTAAAAACACAAGAAACGTCCTTGGAAGGGCAAGCTCGAATATTGATCAAGAACACTGGCAAGAAAAGGAGAAGAATAGATAAGCATGAAAATTAATCAAGTTTTGTAACATTATCAATAAGATATATAATCTATTGTCAAATCTAATCTTTAAACTTCAAAAACGAAGCTTTTAAGGCATTTTATTTTTATTTTCATTTTTGTAACTGACACTTTGTAACTCGTTGACCCGTTATTAAAGGAACTCTTCTGTTTTCAAGCTTTGTTTCACTAGACTATACAGTTTTTGTGTCTGGCTCAAATGATTTTTGATGAAATGATCAAATGAATCGAAATCAAAAAAGGCGACAACCTGAAGACGCAATTTAGGCGCTTTGTTCCACAGAAACCTAGGTTGCTGTCAATAGATAAAAGATAGAGCCCGAAAAGTTAGGTATATGGCCAAATTTTCAGGATAATCTGTTCAGCCGATTTTTTTGTAGAGCTTTTTATCGAATTTTACGAAAAACGAGTTTTTTTCACTCGACTTTCCTTGGAAAAGGACTTTTCTTAAAAAGGTAGAAAAATGAATAATCGACATTTTCTATTTAGAGCCAATTGTTGGTGAATTTGTCATTTATTTCTTCAGACTGTACCTTTTGTATTTTGTGGAAGTAGTGCTATCTATTTTGTTTATTGTTTAGTCTCTTATCTTGAGAATTTCGCGTCACCGATGCTCAAGAAATCAATGTGTACTGAGCTTTCGAAGGAGAATTTTTCTATCAAAGCTTTCAAAAATATATATGCTAATGAAAATTTCAATTGTTTGTTGTTTGCTATGTTTGGTTACTCTAACTTTTGGCGCTCAATGTCCACAAGGAACTATTCATTATGGAGACAGGAATGAATGTATCGATGCGGTGGATGCAAGTTCGTTTCAAACTTTGCAATATTGACACAACGGTCAATACTCATTGTCAATACTGAGACACATTTACCATCTTATTATCATTAGAAACAACATATTCTGGCGCTCAACTTCTTTGCACACAAGTAAATGGCCGACTTATTCAAATCCAGGATATTTTTGAAAATGTGGTCACTGGAACGCAAGCTGGACAAGGTAAATTTTTAGCTATCAAAATCAACTAACTCAATTTCAGTAATTGGCAACAATAGTCATTCTTACATTGGAGTTCAACAACAAAATGGAAACTGGGTTTATGGTGATGGAAGTCCGTTGATCTATCAGAATTGGAAAAGTGGTCGGAATTTGAAGAATATTTCTAAGTAGCGTTAGTATAATACAAGACAAGATACTATTTACCACTGAATCTTGTTAGTTCTAAGTTTTCCAGGTCATCCTTTATCCAACATGAGTTGTGCGGTGATCAGTGCAAAGGATTACCAATGGACATCCGTTGATTGTGCATCAAGTCACTCCTTCATTTGCTCGATTCCCGATCAGACACCAACTCAAACCACAACGATTCGTGTAATCACCACTCGCACAACTCCATCCACTATTACTCCACCCACCGTCACTCCACCATCATCTGGTGAGTAAAGGAGTCAAATAGGTAAAGCAAATCAACTTTCATAACATTCAGGTTGTCCAAACGGTTGGATTATATACAAACACAACTGTTATTACTTTGCTGGAGTTTGTTTATTTTATGTTGCCCAAACATTTCTCTCTTAGAGTGCAAACTCGACCAATGTTACTTATTATTATAAAGATGGTGAGGAATTTTGCCAACAAATGGGATCTCATCTCGTGTCGATTCACTCTCAGTTTGAGTTCGATTTTGTGCAACGTTAGTTTTTTGAGTATTGGTCGAATCAGTGATTTGGTCTAGACATGGGCACTACAAGCTACAAACGTAAACTACAAACGCTTCTAACTTGCTTTAAATCTGCCGGATTGATATGACCTGTAGCTTAAAAAATAGAGAATCTCAAGAGCTATTGAATGAGCTGAAGCACAGGCAAATATAAATGCTAAAGAAAGTTACAGTGATTTGTAGTCCTGACTCGAGCGTAGTCGAAGCGATTGAGTCAGGCTACAAACCACTATAACTTTCTTTAGAATTCCTATTTTGCCTGTGCTTTAGTCTATTCGAAAGCCCTGGAGATCCTCTATTTTTTAAGCTATAGATTATATCAATCCAGCAGATTTGAAGCAAGTTAGAAGCGTTTGTAGTGTTTGTCATTTTTGTAGTTTATCGCGCGCATGTCTTACTTGGTCATACTAGAACCAGAACTAGAAATCTTCAGGATGATCACCAAGCTTTTTGGTTTTTCATTAAACAAATTTGTTTAGGTAACATCGCTACTAATTCAAACACTACCGATTGTCATGCAAATCAAGCAATGATCGGATTGACATGTGTGGCAGTTGGTCGAAATAAGACGTGGACGTGGAGTGATGGATCAACTTTCGACTTTGACGAAACTCAAACCTTTTGTGCTGATGTTTATGGAGTAAGTGAGACTTATGGAGTAAGGGAGACTTTGAGTGATAGGATAAGTCTTGAGAGATAAGATAAAATTTGGACTGATAAGATGAGACTTGTAAATACTTCTGATAGAAATTAGATTAGAATTAGAATAGAAAACTAATGAAAAAGATCGAATTAACGTTTCTCAGATGATGAATGACCCAAATTGTTATGAGCATGGCTACTGGGATCCATGGGGTGGCACGATGTCATTTTCTCGATTTGTTTGCAAAATGAAAGAGAACTGAAAGAGAAATAAAGTTTTGGCTTTGAATTCTGATAAAAAATTGCCTTTAGGTTGTTTAATAGGTGACATTTGCATTTAATCGGCTATCGTACATTCGTTATTATCGAAACTGAAAACATTTATTGCACAGGCAAAACGACAAAACTTTCAAGAACAATTTCCAAATTCATTTGAATTTTCATACTTTGCAAAAAATTTGATTCTGTTGTCGAATTTGCTGTTTCTCGTTTTATCTTTTGTTTCGACTAAAACCAATTCATAAAAACAATTGATCGAATCACTAATCATCTGTCGATAACAAAACTTTTTCAATATTTTTTTCATGAAACTTATCATTGTAGAAAAAGTGAATATTTTTCCAATTTTTCTGAAATTCAAGTCTTGCATTCAAGATTTCACGAATCTCCTCAAAGTACCCATTCCACGCCTGTGATTGTGGCATTTCAAGACAAAGAGTAAAGTCTAAATTCTTTGATGGAAGTCCATTCTCAACGATTTCATGAAGCTTTTGTGTAAAATAGTTGTGATTCGATGTAGAGCAGAGAATTAATCTCTTCAAGTGCTCAAGCTTTGCATAAATGCTCAAATCGGGTAGATCTGCTTCGATAACTTTGATTTGTTTACAGGAAATGAGATGATTTTGCAGAAAATTCAAGTATATATGCACTTGATCGGAGTCACAACAGGTAAAAGAGACAAATTTAGTGACGTGAAAACGGAGATCTTTAAGGAGTTCCCAAAAACAGAATAAATCATCAGGGCCTGCCTGGAATTCGTCGACAATTCGCAGATTTTGGAAACTTTTAATTAGCAAGTCGAGCTCCTGCTTTTTCGAAGGATCACTTTTCCCAAGAACACAATGTGTTTCCCAAGCAAGCTTTTTGCAAATGACAAGTTTTTGAAAAGTTCTCATAATTAGAGCGTTGCTAACAGTGAACTCAAAGCTAGTCGATTTATCAACAATTTTTATTCGTAAAGGCTTCGGTAATATTTGACGGTCATGTCCGATTGCGAAAAAAGTGATTGACATCTCATTAACAGATTTTCCGAAAATTCCATTTAATAGAACATAAGATCGAAGAGATTTGTTGACTTTGAGTAAATCGATGAGTAAAGTTGGTTGAAGATTCTCCAAGATCGACTTTTTAAGCTCAAATGGGAGACGGTTCAGCGGGAAAGCGGAATGATCAGTTGAGTTTTTCTGACCCATTTTGGACAAGATTAGCTTAAGAATATTTCAAGCAATGCAATGAGAATTTGAATTTGAACAAAGGCAAAAGATTTCGAGGCAAGAGTTGCAGAAAATTTTTTTGCAAAACGGTGTAGAAAGTTTATTAGGCAGCATCGAGAAAAATGGAAAAAGACATTCAGGCAAATGTTGTTAGAGAGATAAGAACCTTTCAGCGAGGGGTTTTCAATCAATTGATGGACACTTTTTTAGTCTTCTCTCGATGGTTTGTGCAAAGTGTAAAGAACTAAATTTCTACTGCAAGTATTCTGTTTTTTTACGCGATTTTTAGCTTGTTGTTATCCAATAATGAAGGTGTGAATTGTAAAGAACGATTTAAAAGAATTTATTTAAAAGTTCACATAGCATGAAGGAGTTTTTAGCACCTTATGCAGGGTGGCTGAAAAGTTGCGATATGTGGTGTGATGAAACAATTCTTTTTGATGGTAAATATTGAGAAATTTTTAAAACCATATTGATTTTCAGATTCTCCACACAATTTTACATTATAAATCAAAATTTCAGCTCACTAGCTCTATTCGGAAAGTTTTACGCTAATTTCTTTTTGATGTTGGTCTTTGGTCACACCTTCATGGACAATTAGGGAAAAAATTTTCACCATTTTCGTCACCCATTTTGCCATTTGCGCCATAAAACATCTTTTTGATTGCCTTTGCTACTTAATTTTACTTTTAATATTAACTGAAAAAAGCTTTTAGTGAGAAAAAAGTACTCCAATGTAACAAGATGGCACGCGACAAAATGGGTGACATTCCTTTTCTGCTTGTTGCCCATGAAGGTGTGACCAACGATCGACATCAAAAAGAAATTAGCTTAAAACTTTTCCGAATAGAACTAGTGAGCTGTAAATCTGGCTTATAATGTAAAAATATGTGGAGAATCTGAAAATCAACTTACCGTAAATACTGTAATAGTCCCCACCTCCATAATGACGGTGCGGAGTCTTGCGTAGTCTAGCTTTGAACGAGTTTTTCTCGACACTGGTTTATGCTACAATGTGCGCTTAGGTATCAAAAAATAGCCCTGAATTTCAGCTATTTTTTGATACCAAAGACGCATTTTTTGAAAGTACGGGCGCTTTGAAAAAAATTAAATACTAAAAAACTTTTGCGACTACGCGACTGTACGAGGGGGGTGGGGTACTATTACAGTATTTACGGTAGTTTAAAGTTTACAATATTTACCAACAAAAAGAATTGTTTCATAAGGTATCCGAGCTTCTCAGCCACCCAGTAGAAATTTTATAAAAAACCAGTCTAGAAATCACAAGCCTTTCGAAAATAAAATAGCTAAATTGATTTCAAAATTTCACCATCCATTAGCAAATGTCACATTTCAATTTCGATTCAATTCAATTCGTATTTCGCAAAAACTTTGATTCTGTAGTCGAATGTGATGTTTGTGGCTTTTTCTTTTGTTTCCACTAACACCAATTCATAAAAACAATTGATCGAATTACTAATCATCTGTCGATAACAAAACTTTTTCAATATTTTTTCATAAAACCTGGCATTGTAGAAAAAGTGAATATCTTTCCCGTAATATTTCTGAAATTCAAGTTTTGCATTCAAGATTTCACGAATCTCTTCAAAATTCTCAGTCTTTTCTTTCGCTTCGGGCCTTTCAAGGCAAAGAGTGAAATTGGGATTTTTCGACGAAAGTCCATTGTCAATGATTTCGTGAAGTTTTTGCGTTGAGTAATGATAATCGCCTATATTGCAGAGAATCAATTTGTTTAATCTCTCGAGTTTTACAAAAGCTTTCATGTCAAGTGGACAGGTTTCGATCACTCTCACTTGTTCACAGGAAATCGGATGCTTGTGCAAGAATTTTGAATAAATTTCCATTTTAGTCGCATCACAACAAACAAATGAGGCAGATTTAGTGACTTGAAAATGGAGATCTTCAAGGAGCTCCCAAAAACAGAATAAATCATCAGGGTCGATCTGGAGTTCGTCGACAATTCTTAGAGTTTGAAAAATTTCAATCAATTGCTCAAAGTTCTGTTTTGTTGAATCCTCACTTCTTCCATAAATTCGATGTGTTTCCCATGAAAGTTTTTTGCAATGAACAAGCTTTTGAAAAGTTTTCACAAGTAGAGAAATGCTGCTAGTGAATTCAAAGCCTGTAGATTTATCAGCAACTTTCAATCGCACATATTTCGTTAATATTTGACGCTTTTCTCTGTGTGCAAAAAAAGTGATTGTCATGTCTTCGACAGATTTTCCGAAAATTCCATCATTTAGAATATAAGATCGAAAAGATTTGTTGACTTTGAGTAGATTAATGAGTGAAATTGGTTGTAGATTCTTCAAGACTGTGTTTTTGAGTCCAAAAGGAAGCTGGTTTATTGGGAAAGTTGATTGATCAGTTGAGTTTTTCTGGCCCGTTTTTTGAAATATTGATTTCAGAAATACTTGCAGTAGCAAAATGGTGCTAAAGGTTTCTCAATATGGAGAAAGGGGAAGGAAAAACGTTTCAGCCAGAGATAAGAACCCATTTGTCTTCAATCAATCAATTGGAATGACTGTGTGCTGTTTTGTGTTGCATTGTGTGTTTAGGTTATCGGTTTCAATCAGAAGTTCGCAGAACAGTGAGCGTTTTGAATTTACCTATTATCTATTAGGTTGGCCGGAAAGTTCTTTCCGTTTTTTGACGCTAGATCTAACTTTTTATTTTATGCATCAAAAACGCCAAATAAAAAAACAGAATTTATCTCTCGAAATATTCACCGTCAACATCAATAACATCCTGCCACTTATCCGGCAACAAATAGATCCCGCGGCGGTAAAACGCACGTGGCTTCGAATCGAAAAACTGAGTGAGTGACAAGCGCCTTTCCTCGACGTTTTGAAAGATCTTTCCACGCAAATGATGCTCCAGAGACCTGAAAAAAATGATAATCGGATGATTCTGGACAAAATACCTGAACAGATGATAGTCCGATGGTGCCATGTCGGGGCTGTACGGCGGGTGATCCAAATGTTCCCATCCAAACTCGTTCAATTTGCTTGTTGTCAAGCTTGCGTTGTCATGAAGCAAAATGACTGGTCCTTGACGGTTGCGCATCTTCCGGCGAAGTCGATCCAATATTAGGTTGGCCGGAAAGTTCTTTCCGGCCAACAAGCAAATTGAACGAGTTTGGATGGGAACATTTGGATCACCCGCCGTACAGCCCCGACATGGCACCATCGGACTATCATCTGTTCAGGTATTTTGTCCAGAATCATCCGATTATCATTTTTTCAGGTCTCTGGAGCATCATTTGCGTGGAAAGATCTTTCAAAACGTCGAGGAAATGCGCTTGTCACTCACTCAGTTTTTCGATTCGAAGCCATCTAAGAGTCATTGTTTGCTAGAGTGTGTCCTTTTCTATTAGGTTGATGCATCTTTTCGTTTTTTTCGTACTTCTGTTAAAAAGTAACAAATTCACCAATTAATCTATAGTTTGCTCTATAAAAAAAGTGTTTTTTTGTTCAATTTCCATCTTTTTAAATCAATTTCGGTTCACTTTCAAGCAAATTCGAGAGTGAAAAACGCCTTTTTCGTAAAAATCTATAAAAAACTCTACGGAAAAATTGGCTGAATGAATTTCTCTGAAATTTTGGCGAAATATCAAACTTTTTTTCTCTATCTTTTATCTATTGACACGAAGATAGGTTTTCTTTAGCTAAGGTGTCTAAACCGCATCATCGAGTTAGCCCTTTTTGACTACCCGACTTCATACTCTCAAGAAAATCCAGGCATAAAATATTTTTAAACCCGTTTTAATGTTATTTTGCAGAAAAATAATTGGTTTTTCTAATGAAATCAACCGTAGTTTAATTGGTGCATTTGTTGGCTTGAAACGGCAGACGAAAAGGAATGAAAAGACTTATGCATCAACCTAATATTTTGTCCTACTGTAGCCGTGCATTTCGGCTATATAAGGCGGCCTTTTTCTTCATTTGTGACCTTTTTTATTGATTTACCACCAAAGTGAGTATTATTTGTATCGATAAAATTGTTGTTTTGATCACATTTAATACACATAAGGTATCAAACACGCGCAAGTTTAAAGATTAGATCTTTTGCAACTTTTGTGTTTTAAAAAAAAGCCAAAGACAAATATTTTTCTTTCTTGTACAATACTTAGATATTTTGTTGTTTAATTGGTGAGATAGAAAGGCTTAAATAAAACGAATGTTTGCGATGTTTAGGTGATCGACTTGCCTGTAACTGGCAAACATTGATCGTATCTCATTTTCAATACTTTATTGTGGATTTGATGTTAATTTTTATTTCTTTATGATTCATTGAAAGCGATGTTTAAACTTCCCATTCGACTACAACCAAAATTAGCTGCAAATTTGTGACCGTGTGGGCGAATTTGTGAACTCAAAAAACACCTGCGCAAATGCGAGAAGCGAAATCAGATCTAATTTCATTTCTTTACACCAAAAATGCTTGAAGATCCGACAGTGGATTTTATCTACGACATCTTATGCGCAACAACGCCATTAGCCTCTATTTTCTGGATGTATTTGATCATTTTCCAATCACCGGCCGAGATGCGCCACTTTAAGTGGTTGTTGTTGAAGTTGGCGGTGAGTTTAAGACTATTGCAAGGATTTATTAAAGAGAATTTGCCTCTAAGCTAAAACTTTTTAGATTACAGAAGAGATTTTCGTTTGTTCTCTCACAACTCTGTTAAAACCTGATCTGTTGTTCCCAGCAGAAGGAGGAGCAATGCGAGGAATCGCTGCAAGATGGGGTGGACAACTTGGCGTGAATATCGCTGTTAGTTTTAGCGTCAGTCTAATGAACTTAGACATTTTCAAGACTAAAGACAGAGCAGGAAGAGCAGCAAATCTTGCATTATTCTGAGGATCTCGTATTGATCATGTTATCACCAATTGTTCTTATTTAATCTAGAATTCAGGCAGCGATCGGATTTGCCTCTGGAGGTGGAGCGATGCTTGGAGTGAGTGATTGTGCACATATGAGAGCTCTAATGATCTACCAAAGAGATGATCTCGTCGAAAAGCTTTTCAAGAAAGGATACGTTCTGATTTATGTCTTCATTTTTCACATCTCTTTAACATATATTCTCATGTTTTACCTGGTATTTTGGGCAGCTGAAGACTCACAGGTAACATTGAGTTGTTAGATGAAATTTTAACCCCTTTCAGACATTTGTTGCTCGTATGGATAGTTTTGGTTATCATACCTATATTGCTTTCTATGTCGAGCAAAACGTTACATTTTTTAGCTTCGATACTAGCAAGACTTCAACCTATGTTTTAGTTGGAGTGAGTTGCTTTGTGAGTCTTAAGAATGGCTTTACTCACTTCAAAATACACACCGAATGTGCTATCCAAGAACCAAGTTTAGTACAGCATTGGTGGCCTAATGACGGTGTATCTCGAAAACATGACATCCGTTTATTTCATGATGAGAAAACTTCGCCAGTTGCGAACGATCATGTCTAAAGTGACCTGGCGAAATCATGTCGGTGTGGTGCGAATGATTTGGACACAGGTCACAATTTTTGATCTAATAAAACGGAATAACTTTTCAGAGCACCTATCCTCTCTTGATGTGGCTGATACCAATTTGGGTTGTTATGGCATCAATGATGCTTAGATGGCCTGAAATAGTGGCGAACTCAATCTTCAAACATTATTTTTGCTTATCAATCATGTACTACCCGGTAAGAGTGAGCAGGGCTGTTCCAATCGGGGTCTAGATCAAGGCAAGGCAAGGCCAAGCAAGGCAAGACCAAGAAAGACAAGACTAACAAGGAAATGGTCAGAAGTGACCGTGAGATTTCGGCACCAAAATGAGGACCAAAATGCAAATACCGATCGAACACGACGAGTACGATGATGGTTTCGGATTTTGCTAAGGCTTAGGCTTAGGCTTGCTACGGCTAGTTTTCGAGAAAAATGGCTTTGAAATTTTGGCGCCTACTCGAAAACGAGGTACACTTCTTTAAAACGACTTCTTAGGAAATGTGTCCTCGTGGTCAGCGGGGAGAGTTCTCGCCTCCCATTTTCGCAACTCTGGCTCGGTCCTAGCTAGCACCTTTTTTTCCAAACTTTTTAGTTTATATATCCCAAGGCTTCTAAAACTTTTAAACTTTAATTTTTTCAACCATTGTTCAACAATTTTATCCATAAATCCAGAAGCCAACACAACAAACCAACCAGAAATATCAATCAACGAAAATGTAATTCCTTTCAAAATGATCAAAGCACAGTGATCGTATGAGAAGTGTAAGCACGAATGACCAGATTGGTTATAATGTTTTCAAGGGTAATTATATAGTTTGTAATTAGTTTACCTGATTGACTATGCTTTGATCATTTTCTAACATTTTCTAACCCTCTTTGCCCTAGTCTTGATTGTCACAACCCTGACAGTGAGTAGGGTAATTCGAAATTTACACAGAAATTTAGACTTTAAGCTTTATTCTATCGGTTGTTTGTCTCCGCCCATATCGAGTTTTCATTTTGGAGAAAATTTTCCGGCGAAAAGTCTCTCCAGAGCCGACTGTCGAGCACTCTGTTGAATCACACCCAAGCGTCCAACCACAAAGAGTGAATTTGAATGAGGCAGATATCTCGGAGTATATTGCGCCATGACTTGTTTTTTTTCTATTTGAATCACAATAAAAATTTGATAGACAAAAACTGAAAACAACAAATCAACAAATTTGATATCCAAATCATATAAATTTAAAATTCTAGATGATTACATAATGCCCGTCTTCGTTTGGCTCAGCCAAAACCCAGTGATCCAAAGGGAAAAGATCATCAAAACAGGATACACCCGGCTCCAAACAACCCGATTGAGCAGACCAACCACTAAATTATTCAATTTATGGAACATTTTGATTCAGGAAAGCTTTGAAACTCACGTATTCCTGCATCTCTCCACCGCGTCATGCGCTAGAGCACCACGATATTCAGGAGTTTCACCGTGGAAGATCTCTCGTACAATGGCTCCGATTTCTTTTAGGGTATTGTCAATTTTGTTCTGGAATAGTTAATTAGAGTATGAACTCTCCATATGAGCTTACTGGTTCAAAAAACTGAACATCAGGATACAATTTGCTTGATTCGTTAATGTCCTCTCGGAGATCGAAATCGTATCGACCGTGCAAGTGTAGAGCTTCTTCTTTTGGGGCCTAGATTCAACTCAAAAGTTCAGCTTATATATACAAAAGTAAATCAAAACTACTGATTGAACAACTTTATAGACTGATACAATGCTTACAAGAGAATGTTCTCAGCTAAAAGTTCGGAATCGACTGGAAACACAGTGCATAACATAGAATCGGAAATGGCAAACAAAATGCCGCAAAAATTAGCCTAATAGCCTAATAGCCTAATACTAATAGCCACGGAAATGCAAGGAATCAGGCAGACAAAATCGGGATCCCAAAAATGATTCCTTTATAAGGCTTCTCTTTCTGCCGTATAGAGATGAGCTCGTGGCCTAGTGGATAAAGGCCTAGCCTGTGAAACGGCCGACCTATTTTTGCTCTTGGGTTTAATTCCGCCCATTTTGCATGCCACTCATTGCCACTACTGACCTCATAAGCCGTTTTCCCCAAAAAGTATTCATTCGGGTAATGAACCCAGTTCGCTTTGACAGCTTTCGTCAGAAAAATTGTCTAAAAATACAGTAAATAAACAATCCAAGACTTTTTGTAACCTTTGGAAATCGCCAATTATCAAAAGTGATTGGATTTCTGAATGAATCAAATGTGAGAAAATTCTCATAAATGAACGGATTTTCAACGATTCTCGGTCGAAATGTTAATCCAACGTGCGAGAATTTGAGAGCACCTATAAAAATTGAAAACAATCTGAAAACAAAAGAGAAATGTAATTGTAATTGAAATTTACCAAAATCGCTCTTCTCTGCAAGCCATTTTTCCAGGTAATCAAAGTAATTGTAGGAGCGGTTTCTGAACTCATATCTTTTTTGATTTGGACGAAATCAATGCTTATTTTGAAAAGATCTGAACCAGAAAACTTCTTCAAGGAAAATATTCACCTGATGTATATAAAATCATCAACATCTCCGAGAAAAGTGTACTTGCTCTTTGACCAAAAGATGCAATGTTGAAACTCAAGATTGTCGCTAACGTAGAACGTTTTGAAGTTTGGATCGTACTAAAATTTTAGTTCTAGTTGATTATTTAAAGTTTACCATAGGTGAAAATGGCAAAATAGGCCAATTGTGGGTTTCAATAATGCCCTAAAATTGCTAAATGAGAAATTGTTTAATTGGTAAACCTTATCAACATAATAATCGATCACTTGTTGAACGGATTTCGAAACAGACTGCACGGAGACTAGAAATCTAAAATTTTTCTGATAAAGTAAGATTTGAAGCTGAGAAAGATTAAAACGTGATAAAAGCTGTTAATCAAAAGCTTACGTATGAGTTCCTTGTCTCCTCCAGAGTTCGATGAATGCTATCAAACGAGGCCAATCGTTAAACCTAAATGAACAGCTTTAAGCTTCTCAAAAAGTTACATGGCTTCAGATTTAGATTAAGCTTTTTAATTTGTTTAAAGGGGTACTCCGGCGTAAGGAAAGTCAGTGTTAAATTGGGCACCTGTTTTTCAAGTCTTCTCAAGTCTGCCGGCAGACGTTCTGACGGGGTTTGCCGGCCTAAGTCGATTTTCATCTTTTTTTAAAATTATTCTTTTAGAATGTAATGTTTTCTATTTAAAAAATATTTAAGATTGCTGCTAAATTTGGGAAAATACATGCAAAAGAAAAGAACGCAGGTGCTAAAATGCAATCGGACATAACCTTTATATACTTTCCGCCCAAATATCGACGTTTTAGGGTGGAACGGAAAGCAAAAATCGCGTTTTTCTTCATTTCTTGATTGGAAGCATAAGAAATAATTGTAAGCATCGGATTATATATTGGGTTGGTGAATTGAAAACTGCGGGACTTTGAACTAAAATTTATTCAACATAAAACCATCAATTCATTCCAAATAATTTCCATTATTATTGACGACTTCTGCCCATTTTACAGGCAATTCGCGGATTCCCTTTCGTAGTAGGATTTTGGTTTGTGTGTGAGACAAGTGTGAGACTCAAAAAGGGAGGACTGGAGATGTCCCAGTTTGAGCGCGACCTTCAAAAGAAACCCATTTTGGTGTCAATAGAAAAGTTGTAGAGAATCAAAAATTAGGCTTATAGTCAAATTTCCAAAAAGATGCACTTGGTAGTTTCGCTTAAAATGCTAGTTTTGTGAAAATTCGTAAATTTGGCATTTCTTGAAAACCAGTTTTTGAATCGTTCTGAAAAGTTGGATATAAGCTTAATTTTTGATTCTCTACAACTTTTCCATTGACACCAAAATGGGTTTCTTTTGAAGAAAGTCCTCAAACTGTCACATATGAGAATAGCCCGCAGTTTTCAATTCATCAACCCAATATAAATGACCGCGATTCTTGAAAGTCAACCTTTAGGTCGGAGTATTCCTTTAAACTAATATTAAGTTGAGTACTAAATCTTTCACCGAAATTCATTTTCCAATTGGATAAGTCACAAGCTATTAAATGAAATACGGGTTTTTTTCATTAGATTCATTCATTTTTATCAGATAGCCCAATCATTTCTCTTGCAAATGACTTTTGTCAGTTTCTGAAAGCTTTGTTTTGAAGGAATCATTTGGTATTTGGTTGTTTAAGACTCGTTCATTTAGATAGTGAAATGAGGAGTGCACGACTTAGTACTCAACCAAATAGTAGGTTTAATTAAGCTTTTACTACCAATGCAATGGTCCAATGCAAGCCGATAAACTGTCCGTATATTCACTGGGTGCCACATGAAGTTTAACTTCAGTTGACACTCCATCGTGTGTCACAGTGATCTGTAATCCCATTTTTACCATTTGATTGATAAACAACCTTTTCTGGAATCTCTCCGCGATAAACCTTTGATCCAATGTCATAATGCCAATACTGGCAGCCTTTGCCTGGTTCTGGACATGTAACTAAAGTTTAGATATTTCCCGCTGATTGCGAGAAGATAAGAAAAGTTTAGACATTTTGATCTAGTCCTCCACTCACATTTTGCATTCTCAGTGCACATTTTCCATTCAACACCGATCTCTTTACCAAAAATCGATATTGAATAATCCCCCGAGATTCCATCGCAAGTAGCGGTTACCAGTAAACGAATCCTTGGCCCAGCTGGATCTCTTAAAAAATTATTAGCAAAGTAAATGGGTAACTGGGAAGTTTTAAGCCAAATCAACTTACCTCAAGTCATAAAACGCTTTGTGCAGAAACACATCTCGATTTGTTAGTTCCCGATCGACAAATGATTTATCAAAATTTGTGCCACGATAGAATTCTGGGTTCTTTGATTTTCTTGGGCTTAAAAAGTCTTGCCAAAATATTCCCAATAATAAGTAGCAACATGTGGCAAGTGCTCCAATACAATAAAACTGAAAACAAGCTTGAGAAAGTTAATCTTATAAAGTAATACCTGAAGGATATTCATTAAGTACTAAGGATTTCGTCGATTTCGTCGAATTTGAATAAGAAACAATTGAATTTCGGTGTTTACCCAGTTCGGCGATTTTTGACTTCTGTGAAAATCCAAAATTCCAATTTTTCGAATATTGTGTGGGCAGAATTTCCGGTCAATCAACGGAACAATTTATTGAAAAGCTTGCAATAGACATGCAATAGAAATAGAAAAAAGGAAATTTTGAATACTGTGCACTGCTTTGAAAAGCCTTTTTGGTCATCGAAAGGATTTTTGATCAAAATGTGATGTACAAAATGAAATTGATTTTCGAGGAGACTGAGTATTCATTTAAATTCAAAATTAGCACTACTACAATTAGCATATTTTAAGTCCAATGAAACCCTGGAATCAGTTGTTTTGAAGCTTTTTCAAATGCAAATTTTGGTGGTCTCAAAAGTTCTTATACTTTTTCTGTAAACAGTAACTTTTTTGACTTGAAATCCACGTAAATTTCAGAAAACTAACACCGAATTCTAAAAATTCAGATCTTTTACCCCAATATACCCATTTTCATGTAAAGATTTCAACTCTCAACAACTTTTTGACCAAAATTTTTTACATCCTGGTCTGATTGTTGAAGATTTTTGCGAAAATTGACTTAAACTTTGTAGAATGAATTTTTTTTTCAAAAACTGTTGTTGCCATTTGGTCAACCTAAGTTTTTTTCTTGAAAACAAGCCACAAACGAACTTTACATTTCAAAAAGAAGGATTTTCAAGCAATTCTACGGAGAGCACCCAAATCTCAAAAGCAAATCAAAAGTTGTAGCGACCTTTAAACATCCTTATTAAAAAATTGTTTAGAGTTGCACCTTTTATGCAAAAGAAGTAAAGTAAGAGTAAAAATACCTGAATTTTCATAAACCGGCGTTAGTTTTTAAAAAAAAGCGTATTTTCCTAGTCAAACGGTCCATTTACAAAGGTAAAAGAACTTTTGGGATACCCTGTATATAAAAGAGCAGTACGTCCGTCCGTCTGTACGAGCTTTTTTGTGTATTAGAATTGATGCATGGATAAAATTTCCGAAAATATTCATAGAAAAGTGTGTTAGCAATAAAAAACTAACAAAAAAGAATCGTTTTTTTAGGCTGACTGAAAGCCAAATTTAGAATTGAAGTACAAAGGCTGAAGTACAAAGAATGGGTTTCTATTCGGTATTCGGATCGTGTGCTTCATAACGTGAGCTTCATAAGTTAAAAATCAATAAAATTTGAATTGATTCAAAACGATTCCAAGGTTTGTTTTCATATCTAAACTTCTGTTTTCCGTTTCGCTTAACCAAAGCTTGTTTATGCGTAAAAATTTGCATCAGCTCTTGTTTTGAAACTTTTGGAAAACACAATAATAAATTTTCAAGCGTTTAACATGTTCAATGAACGTTTTCATAAAGTTTTTACAATAGATGTTGTTTTCATTAAAAGATTTTGGTCTGTAATTCATTGAAAAAAGAAATCTTTACAAACAATTTCATTGTAAATTGAATACAAAGTTTTTTTTGTTTTGTCCAGTGTTGGATATGGAACAGATGGCAAGTAATTGATGGTACAATGCTGATCAACAGGTAGTTAGCTCCCTCTGGGGCAGTGGAGATCAAGTGTGTTGTGGTGTAATGGTTAGCACAGTTGCCCGGTAAGTTGCACAGTTGCCCGCGAAAGGTTGTGCGTTCGACCCCGGGCGGCGCATAAGTTTTTGTTTACCAACTAGGTTTGATTTTTGTTGACCAACCTAGTTTACCAACTAGGTAATGAAAAAAAGAATTGCTTTATCTTATTGCTCATCATTTCCCATACTCGACTTTGATATTTTCACTCGAACAGTGCCGTTTCCCGGTTGACGCTGTTTTCGCAATAACAACGCGCTAATCAAACTGAAATTCGATTTTCACCGTTTTTGATTACCATGCAACCAAACTCATCAAAAAGTATTGCATAAAAGTGGGCAAATAGAAGAAAATTTTTGCATATTTGGCCCAAATAAGTAACAGATTATGGTGCCAAGCGAATACAGCAAGATAGTATTTGTCAATACCAAGCTTCAGTTCACGCACATCTAAAATGAAAATTGCAGAAAAAAAATATAAATTGCCTACTTGTATCATAAGAAAACATTCAACTCGAGAAGCTTTTCCAGTTTTTCTTAACTAAACTTGGTCATGTTTTTGTCAATTAAGAAATACTTGCAGCTTTCACCTTTTGGCCTATCACAAAATCTAAGCCACATGTAAAAAAGAAAGGAATGTAAGCGATACAGTGTTCCAAATTTTCATAAAGATAACTTTCTTGTGTAATGATGAAAAGTGCGATCATTTCGAGTCCAATTCTCAAAATATATGAAATGAGTAGTTGAAAAAGAGGCCATTTGAGGGCATATCGGAAATAGACTCCATTAAAAGATAAGGCAATAGAGCGGCTGAAACAAGTTAAATGTGAAAATACGGTCAGTTGGTATTCTCAGGTAATGATCTATTGGCGCCAAATGTAGAAAGATTGTGCCATCGAATCTGATCGACCGGTATCAATTCTTGATTAACCGACCGGACTTGACTAATCTGCGAATTTTAGCGACTGCTCGAGGTCGGGATTAGACTGACAATGAGTCTCAAAATCTAAAGCTGGCCTGGTAAAAAACGGAATTTTATCAATTAGTATTGTTTGTGAACTAATAACGTCCCCAATTCCTGGTTGAGTGGAACTGACTCCCCGGTTTATTTCGTCTATTCGGTTTATTTTTTCATTCCCCATTCTCATACTTTAATTTTATCTAACACCTGTCTCATTTTGATGAAAGAAGTACGCACAAAGGAAAAAAGTACCAATATCCTCGCTTACAATTAGTAACCCGATTCCATTGATCAACTAACCTCAACGAAATCATGAACTGTTGATATTGAGCGATATCATTAAATCCATTGTCTCTCATATACATAAAGATCAAATTGAGATATGCATTCACGTCAGTGTTAGGCTTAAAATGCACATTTTATGAAGACTTTTCAAAAAGTACCGCACTCTTCCGCTTATATAGCTTAATGTGTAGATTGCAGAAAACAAGAATTTGTTCAAATTCTCTGCCGATGTTAGGATTCTGAATTTGAAACGTTTTAAGCACTTTAGGATTTAAACCGAATCAGTAAAGATAGGCGATCATTTCTTTCTGAACAATAAACAGCAATCAATGTGGTTGAAAGGCTCAAGAACAATGTCTAATTATATGATTTTAGTACAAAATTTTCTGCAAGATTTTACAACTGATTCCCCTTTGTCGATGATATTGGCAATTGTTGCTCCCAATTCATCGCTGATATCGGATTGATTACTTGAGAGTGACCATTGTTGGCTGACCTGTTGCTGACCTGTTGCTGTCTCAATACCCAAAATCCAATAAAGGAAAAGTTTTCGGCTTGGTTTAGAGCAAATTTGCGGGAAAATGCAAAGAATTGGAGAGAAGAATATTTGACCAACAAAATCAATAATTTGATTGTGATTCGATTGCTTCCTGTGAAATTTAAAAAGATTTCAACGAATATTACATACAACTTTTGGCCAGCTTAGATGAGCAAAAGTAATTCTGCAAAGGTTCCTTTTCTTGTATTTCAGTTGCCTTTTTGCCAAAAAAGCAAGTAGCATTTGAAAAAGATTCGTTTGGTTTCACAGGAGATTGCACAGGAGATTCCTCAAATTTTTGGTTCGAGTTTGCCCTGATCTGAATTTTGCCGGATATTTTCTAACTTTAAAGTGTGCATACATACAAAATCCAATCCAATCACAAAAGAATCAATCGTTGATTCAATGCAAAAACATTTACATCAAAGATAGGTGCCGTCTTTGTGGTTGGGGACTCGTTCTTTTGCTTTGTGGGACGATTCTAACTGTCGACATCGTTGTGTTGACACTGTTGACATCGACACGATCGTTGAAGAACTTTGGATCGGAACCACAAAGTTTGGTGATCATTTGATGAGTCAGAGTAGGGAAATTAATCACAGAATGACCCCTGTTCTCCATTTCTTTATCAGCTGCATTCTCGGGATCACCCAATCAACTACGTACACATTTCAAATCTCTTTTTCTGTTAGCAGTTGTTCGATTAAACGAGACCATTCCGTGTTTTAGAGCTATCCCTGCTCAACCTCATTTTAAGATTGCGTAATCTTTAGTAGTTTGTAGTGTAAGTGAGTTTGTATTGATCTTTTTCGTCTTAAACTTACAGTCATTCATTAGACAATCACTCTATTTCATCAGGTAATATATGAATACTTTATTCAGCATAAAAATGGCACAGGTTTAAATCAAACACACGAAAAAGATGAAACATTTTGATAAAAGAAAAATAAATACATATGTAAGCATGATTTGCTTTCAATTACTTTATCATTTTTCCGTCTTGATCCAGTTTCATTATCAAGATAGCTTGTGACGATCTGGATAATAATCAATTGGTAATCAATTGGCATAATCATTTGACAACTGATTCACCTTTCAGATCTCTTTTCTCCATACTTAAACAATATTCATTTGTTTTTTTTTCCTTTAAGTTCTTGTTCAGATTTTGACCTTT